TAGTGATGAATGCCGTCGTCGAGGCATGTGTTCATTGCGGCGATATCGAGACTGCTCTTATGGTGTTTGATGAAATGTCTGACCCAGGAAGCTGCGGCGTCGATACTGTCACATATGGTACCCTTTTGAAGGTACTTTTTTATCTTCTTCTTTTAATTTTAATTTTTTTTTTATTGCTTCCCATGGATTTGTTATCAGTGATTTGGGTGCCTTGTTGAAAGGGTTTGGGCAGGGCTCGAAGAATTGATGAAGCGTTTCAAGTACTTGAATCTGTGGAGCTAGGTACTGCCGTGGGAAGTCCAAAGTTGTCAGCACCTCTTGTTTTTGGTCTGCTCAATGCTCTAGTTGAAGCAGGTCTGTATCACCAATTCAATGCTCTTTAATAAGTGCTTTGTGGGCATTGTCTTATTATAATGTTTGGACCAAAATAATAGCACCCAATTGAAAGATCAGTTTTCTGGTCAGTACATTTTGGTTACTATTAAGCTCAAATTAGTTGCTTACAAACGTGCATGCGCTGCTTGCTTCTTGCTGTAGTGCAGGAGATTTACGCCGTGCTAATGGGCTTCTTGCACACTATGGTTTTCTTCTCCGTGAAGGTGGCAGTCTTACACTCACAGTCTACAACTTATTAATGAAGGTTCTGCACTGACCTATATATAGTTCTTTAAGAGACTTAACAAATTAAAGTACGAATTTTCTTTTTCTACTTTTAGAACTGAGCTTTGCAATCAAGATACAGACAGCATTTTGTGTATGCACGATCCTAGATTTATAATTTTAGTTGATAATGTTGTGTCTTAAGGGTTTGCTGCTCCTGATTTCAGGGATATATCAATGCAGGCATTCCTCAGGGTGCGATAACCATGCACACAGAGATATTACGTCTAGGATTAAAGCCTGAGAGGCTCACCTATAATACTCTAATATCTGCATGTGTAAAAGCTGGAAAGTTGGACATGGCAATGCAGTTTTTTGAGGAAATGAAGGTCCCAAGCTATATAAAAGGCCAGTTTAGAGCCTGTATATGATATTTTAAGAGTATTAGATTGTCGTAAATTATTACTAAATATGGCTCCTTGTTTTAGGACGAAGCACAGAAGTTTAGTCATGGTGACCTTTTCCCAGATGTCGTCACTTACACTACACTACTTAAGGTACGTTTACTTTTCTTTCAACAACTTTGTTAATGAAATTTAGGACATGCTCATTTTTGCAAGTTATTCAATGTATTTTCTTAACAATATCAATTGTATGACATCTTCATTATAGCATGGTAGCATTTTTTACAGCCACTGTGGTTGTAAACTTTCTTTATAGTCTTTTTCTTTTAAACCTTGTTCTCTGTCACATTGTGGTAATCTTTTTTTTTTTTTTAAAGATTGAAAAAAGATATTAGGAACTTTATGTTAGTAGTTTCCTTTTCGTTTTTCTTAATGGAAGAACTAGATTTTTCGTTCTGCCCCACCCCCCACCTCCTGAGGAATAAGCTTTATATATTTCTCTTGTTGGTAAATTGATGTTTCAGTTCCTTAAAGTCCTATGATTTTTTTTTCTTTTTGTGTGTCTTCTTTTGGCAGGGTTTTGGGCATTCCAAAGATATCAATTCAGTTCAGAAGATTATATTGGAAATGAAAACATATATTGGTTTGTTTATTGATCGAACAGCATACACTGCAGCTGTCGATGCTTTGCTAGGCTGTGGCTCAATGAAGGGTATGTTCTAGATTGCAATACAAGGTTTTAAGTTATCAGAAATTGCCAATGTCTATATCTTTACATTTGCCTTATTGTTTTAAGTTGCACGCCCTCCATTTTTACATTGCAAAATTCAATATATTGTCAATCAAATGATGAAGAAGAGACAAAAGAGATTTCTTCCATCTGCCAATGTCAAGGTATGATGGTGATGTAAAGATCTGCAAAAACGATGCAATTTGAATAGAGCTTGTACATTTGCATGCTGATGTAGGCATCAAGATTACTCTGCATTTAGTTTTCTCTGTTAGAGGTCTCATTAAATGCTGCACCAAGTATGCCGCATAGAAACTGGACTGGTTAAAATTTCATGTTTCTTTTCTTATCAAATTTGGATGGATGCTGGATTTTTGAAGTGTCAGAAATTAAAACCAATTCTTACTCTTCTACAAATTAAAAGCTTGTCCATGTGCTTAGGTGCTTTATGCATTTTGGGAGAAATACTAAAGCAGGCTGGTGGAAATCCAGACTTGCGACCAAAACCTCACCTGTATCTTTCCTTCATGCGTGCCTTTGCTGTTAGAGGAGATTATACCACCGTGGAAAATCTAAAAGATCACATGTGGCGAGATACTGCTGGAACTGTCTCCCCATTGGTTCAAGAGGAAGCTGATCATCTTCTCATGGAGGCAGCTTTAAATGGTGGTCAGGTACTATATCAACTCATTCACAATCTTCGGTATGGGGTGTGTTACTGCATAAATCTCTTTCCATTCCTGTTTAGTGTTTACCTTCATGATGTTTGAGGCATTTGGATGCTGATTTTAATATCTAGGTCCTGCACAAGATATATAGCATTGCCTTCCTTTAGTTATTTTTCCCCTCTAAATGGTACTATCAAGTTAGTGCATTAGTTCAATTTTGACTTAATTCTAACCTTTTGCATTTGGTTGGCATGAACAATCTGACTTTGACCATTTGTTATTTTATATTTTTTGGTTTTCTCAGGTCGATGTGGCTATAAAATGCCTTGAAAATGTGATTACAAGGTGGAAGAGAATATCATGGACAAGTCGTGGAGGCATGGTATGTAATGTGCTTTTACCCTCCATGACTGTTTAATATTTATGAAGATTAAGATTAGATGTGGTAGGTAATCTACACTGTTTTGAAGGATGACAATATTATATCATAATGTTAATGATATGCCTAAAAATTCTGGGTTGGTGCTGCACAGTTGGTTTTATCCTCTTCAAGTTCTCTAGACCCTTTAAATTGATACCGAGGAAACTTGTTTAAGGATTTTTTAAATTTTTTTTGGAATTATTTCTTTGAATTTCACAAACTTTAGTTCGATATTACTTGTTGTATCTGTTAGTGGTTGACTAAGTAGGCCTTTTATTTGGAATTCTATTTGTTTTCAATGCTTACCATTACATTATAATTTCTGTGTCCTCCTAGCATGAATTCATTAATGTGCCTTTGCACTGCAGGTTGCACTACGCGTAGAGGCCTTATTGGGATTCACCAAATCAAGATTGAGTCCTTATCTACTTCCTCAGGTTTTCATACATTTATTTTCCTTTCAAATTGTAGATAAAATTAGCTACTTAAGGTCCTAACCTGATGACCTGGCAAATATACTTTCATATATAGGTGTCAGTGCATGTAAGATGCTTGCTAAGGGGCCTACCATGAGTGGTTTTAATGTAGAATATCAAATTATGTAGAAGTGTGACTGGATATGATTTTAAAAATTCAATGGACTGATGAAGAATTTCTGGTGGTGAAAATATATTTCTAAATTCAGATACTTTAATAACCAGGACTAGTTGAATTATGGAAGGGGGATCTTTTATAAATCAATCAAAACGAATGGTAAAGGGACTACTTTCATATCTTTAGCCACTACTGATTGACATTCTGATATGTACTCAATTATTGGCTTTTAATTATTTTTGTATGTGTTTGCTTTGTACACTTTTTCTATTTAGGTATTGGCAAGTGAACCGATTGAGAGTGTCATGATGCCCTTTGAAGCAGCTCGGCCACTAAATGGGACCCTGCACTTGAACAAAGTGGTGATGCGTTTCTTTAGGGATTCAGTGGTGCCCATTGTAGATGACTGGGGTAGCTGCATCGGAGTATTGCACCGTGAAGACTGTAGAGAGGTATTTACTATTCACTGATGGCAGAAATAAATTGCTTTTTATCCTGGACCGTAGGGTACAAGCAAAATCTGATAGATGTTTTCCCCAACATTGCAAATTTACAAGTCAAATGCTTTGTATTGTGTTGTAAATAGCATTTTAACAATTAAATGAGCATTTGTATTAACAACTATATGTTTTATAGTTCATGAGCTAATGGAAGTTTGCATACTATTGCGTAGATGAACGCCCCGCTTTCGTCGATGATGAGAAGACCGCCTCCTTGTGCTACTACTAGGACATCGATCGGCCATGTGGTGGATCTGATTATGAAGTACAGATATAAAATGGTTATTGTAATAAACCACAGCTCAGTATATGGTGGTACTGCTTCAAGATTGAGGGCAGTTGGTGTTTTTACAGCTGAACAGCTGTGTAATCTTGTCACACCAGAAACGCCAGGACTGAAACTTTCTTTAGGTAGAAACCTGATTAACAATCTACAGAGCATGAAACTATAGCCTCCTAGTAAATTCAATTTTTGTTATATAAATATGATTGCAGTGAAAATAGTATCCTGAAAGGTGCTTGTTTATACCCTGCTATAAAGTCTTGTGGCAATAATAGCTGTTTTGGTTGATGCATTGGCCTTACCAGAAAACAGCTCAAGAGGGTAAATTCAAGGAACCAGGCTGTTAGTATTTTGGAATTTTACTAGCATCTGTTGACACGAGTATATGCAATTCTGGTAATTCTTGGGTGAGATTGTAAGATTTGCTGTGAGATTCATATCAATCGACGTGTACCCATGTGAAACTCGTATATTCGAGAATCTTTAATCTGGCCCATAGCTTGACAAACATGAACCATTATTTGGGCTTTGTAACCCAAATACATGAATATTTGAGATCGTTTTCCAATCTTTTTAATTGACATTTTTCTTTTCTTTATAATCTTAATGGTGTATTTCAGAAAATCTCAATAGGTAATGCAGAAAGCTTGACCAAAAAAGACTAATGTGAAGCACTTTTATCAAAGGCTTCCATCAGCCAAAATTCAATTAAAGATTTAAGAATCAAATAATCTATTTTGTAAAAGCAAAAATAATCAGAGCCGTCGATGCAACTGACATAAGTAGGTTTTATCAAAAAAATAAAAAAGAGAAAAAAAGCCACTGTGCTACTGCTTCCCAAAACGCAAGGCAAGCCACTGAGAAACACAGGAAATGAATTGAACCCTCCACTGGCCACTGCAAAACCCTAATTAACGAAGACGCAGTGAGTGAGAATGGCGCTCAAAGGGAAAGAGACGATCAAGAGCATGATGAGAAAATTCGGAGACAAAGCCCTAACTCCGCGACTGAAGGAGGAGGTGAAGAAGAAAGGCATAATGGGAGACAAAACCCTACCTCCGCGATTGAGAGAGGAGCTCAAGAAGCAAGGCGTACCCAACTCCAAAATAATTATGGGTCGGGCCAAACGTGGCATCTACGCTGGCTGCCACATCCAGTTCGGCAATCAAATCAGTGAAGACGGTGGCAACAAGTTCGTATTTTCTCATTTTCTCTTGCCTTTTCAATTTTAATCCCAAAGATTTAGCTCTGCTTATTGAAAATTTGAAAATTTGCCCTAATTTCAATCCATGACAAAGGCAATGCTAAAAATTACAGAACTTTTTATATGATTGTAGGACCCTTTGTAATATCTAAACCCAAAATCTTGGACTTGATCAGTAATTTTGATTTAATTTCATTTTTGTTAGCTGGGTAGTGACTGTTTTGAATGCTTGGTATTGTATGCTTCTAAGTATTTTCTTTGTAGGGAGTAAAGGTTTGTTGAGGTGTGTACTATATACCAAGCTGAAGTATGAAACTTGTGGGTTGCCATTTTAACCATTGTTGCTTCAGAAATTGTATTCTCAAAGCTATTTGAGCTAAGGCTTGAGCTGGCTCAATCATTGACCAAACGTATCATGCGTTATCATAAGGATTCTACAGAATCTGGACTAGTGCCAGACAAGTATTAGAAGTGTACAAGTTTTATATTTGTCAGCTGTGGCCGGGTCTACATGGGTTTTTTTGTTTTGTTAGAATCTGGCGTAGTGTAGCATGCTATACAGTTTCTCAGAGTATATTCAATGCAATTTATAGAACAGGGTTGGCTTATATGACTCTGATTTTGAATTACTAGGTTCTTTAATCTTGTAATAATTTGTGAAAATGGGTCATATTAACCACTGGAACTTTCCTTTGTTGGCGGTGACAGGTCAAGGAGGACATGGAAGCCAAATGTGCAGGAGAAGCGTCTCTTCAGTTACATCCTTGACCGTCACATTCGAGTCAAAGTCACCACCCATGCTCTCCGTTGCATAGACAAAGCAGGTGGGATTGATGAGTACTTTCTGAAAACTCCTTACCAGAGGATGGATACAGAAATGGGTCTCGTCTGGAAAGCCAAAATTGAAAAGCTTTATGAAGAGGTTGGGCAGACGCCGGTTGCGTTAATTAAACCTGAAGCCGAAGTCAATTTGGAACAGAAATTCAAACAACTAAAACTAGATGAGAGGGACGTCAGGAGAGAGATGTACGGTTGGTCGAACAAACTAAAACAGATTGAGGAAGGAGCGGACAACCAAGTAGCTGATGAGGAAGGTGCAAGGATTGGAGAACAAAGCTCTCATGTCGATGTTCCAGAGCAGTTGGTTGCAAACTCCTGAGTTTGGAGCTCGTAAACCAGCTTGGGAATGTTCTCGTTTTTGTCAGCTACTCCCAGTTTTTAGAGTTTTGTTTCTCTTCAGGGTTTTTAGAGAGAAATTGTAGTAGTAGCCGATCCTGATAAGCTGAAATTTGTTCATCTTTTCTCATTATGGAAATTCACAAGACAGTCCTGTTGGTTTCATATACAATTTTGTACTAAATAATTTCTATAATCTGCCGCTCTTGATGATCCCCTAAATGGGGTTGAAGATTCATTTAGCTGCCTCACAAGTAAACTACTTTGCTTTCGCTCACTCTTCATATTGGTGATGATGTTTCTATAACTAAATAGAATTGAAAAATAAATTATGATGTACTAAGAACCGTGTGTGCATTTAATATAACTTGTGTGCTTAAAGCTTTGTGTTTCGTCTGTTTCCGTGTTTCTTTTAGCCCAAGGTGAGCTAAAGGAAACACGAAAACAAAAGAAACCTGAAAACAAAAGAAACATGGCTTTCTAAAAGAAACACGAAAACAAAAGAAACATGGCTTTAAGAAAAGCAGGACATGATCGCCTTTTTACCAACACAAAAGTAGAATAGGTTTTTTTTTTCTTTTCCCAAAAGGGATTAGGGGGGTTGTTTCAAATGACCTTTGAAATCCAGAAACGCCATAAATTTTTGAAGTTTATAACCAAGACATTAGTGAAAAGTCATATCAATTTTTGAAGTTTATGGAAACAGGATATTTGTTGTATACCTCAAGAATTAGAGCCGTTGCAAGTTACAGCCATTTAGGCTTTTTAGCCAGCACAACCTTCAAATTTCTTGTAGTGCAAAACTTAATTAGCGAGCAGTGGTCCCCATGACAACGATTCTCTTCTTCTTCATTAGCAAAAGAACAAAAAGAACAGAAAAACAAAACAAAAAAGCCAAGCTTATGTTCTTCTACTTCTGTCACACTTGCCACCACCCTCCCTTCTCTCTTCCCATGTACCTCACACACAATTTACATAGCTGTAATTCTTTATAAAAACAATCTAAAATAATAATTAACAAATAGCTGGAAGCTGCAACCTTCACGTTCAAACACGCGTCGCCTAATCATTTCTAACACGCTTTCTAGTAAACCACACAACCAAACAGTTGCTTACTCAAGAAGCTTCTCTCCCATGTCTATAAAAACCCTTCACCCCTCACTCCATCTACAACAATTTTGCATCAGCTTCTCACTCCAACAAGACCACAGCAAAAATGGGCAGGCAAAGCTTGTCACTTGTAAGCCACCTGAAGAGGGCAGTGAAGAAAATAAACCTCATTTTACTTGGCTTTAAGTTAAACCGATGGAAATTGGCTTCAATCCTTGCTTGTACTAACAGAGCTTCTGCAAGGCAGTGCTTGAGCTTCAAGGACAGATTGGGTTTGTATGGCTGCATTGAAGATGATAATGCCGATGAGAATCGGTGTTTGAGACGGGTTCTTAGCACAAGGACCCATGATCGCGCTTCGGATGATGATGATGATGTTGATCACCGGGCTGATGTTTTCATTTCGAATTTTCGTCGTCAGCTGAGGTTCGAGAGACAGGTTTCTTTGGAGCTAAGGTACTGCAGAAAGGATAGCTTTTAGAAGAAATTAGTTAATTATGAAGGAAGCTTCTAAAATGAATGGTCAATTGGTCATGGTGTGCCAAAGAATCAAGGATGATAATTTGAGTGACAAGGGGTGGCCTGGCCTCTGTATGGGGCACCAAGAAAAGTATCTCATATATGGCAAAGTTCGGTTCTGAATTCCTTTTTTTTTTTTTTTTTTTCTTATTGGGATTTCGATGTTTTGTTGCTGATACTTTATCAGGCAGCTCTCTCAAATGGGGAGCAATTCGGATGTACGTTTCCAAACTTGAATAATAAAACTATTGGTCGTTTATGTATACAATTTATTCAGTTCTGTTTTTTGATATTATTTATGTATCTATGATCACAGTATACATTCCAATTTCAAATCGACACGTTTGTGACATTCATTAGCTATTTGAAAATATTTTGCTCACTGATTCTGGCAATGCATATTGTCTATAATTATCTAACTGGCTAGCAAAAATTAGGCTAAAACTACTAAAAAGAGTACATAATTGATCTAGAAATTGTATGGAATATCATTACACAGGTACATATCAACAAATTTCATGCAGGGAAATATAAAAATTCAATGACACCCTCTAAATCTAAATGCCAATACTCATAGAAAGATTTGTCAGCATTTCTGTCCAATTCAAATTTTTTTCTCTCTTTTAATCTTTTAATCCACCACATTATATGTCAATGTCTGTGTCAATATACAGAGAGTACAGATTTTACACCATCATATTGTAAATGGGTTCATTTGGATCCTGATTCATAATCTATCACAGTCTCAAATGCCCCAACCAATGCTTTCACCTTGTTCTTCCTTTTCTCCAGCAACTTGCTTGCAGTCTCCTCAATCACATCATTGTATGCAGGAGCAGAGTCCTTTTTCCCTCCTTGTGATCCCTCGCTTGTTTGGCTCGGCTTCACTGTTTCCTCTGCTGCCTCAGCTGCCTCAGCAACCTCAGCAGCCTCTGCAGGCTTTGCTTCTTCAATTCCCCCATCCGCTTTTTCTTCCCCTTCCTTCAATGCAATCCCTTCCTTCTCATCCAAGGCCATGTCCTCAACATTCTTGCTTTCCACCACTGCAACACCATCTTCTTTATCACTTATCTCTTTTCCTTTATCTTCTTTCACCTCAACTTTAGTTTCCTCACTTGCCAAACCCTCTTCTGGTTGAGCCTCACTGCTTTCATCTAATTTGTTCTGATTATCTTCCCCTTGATGTTGTTCATTATCTGCAGGCTTCTCTTCTTGGACCAATGCATTTCCACTTTCTTCATTTCTTTCCTCCACAGTTTCCTGCAATTCCTCTGCATTAACAGTAGAACTGTCGCTAGGCTTGAGCTTCTCATCCTCGCCGCCATTAGCTTCAGCTTCTACAGCAACACCATGATCATCAACTTGCTCCTTCTCTTCAACTTTTGGGTCCGGAAGAACCACCTTTTCATGTTCCTCACTCTCAATCATACCTACCTCTTCAACCTCTTGATGATCCAAAGACTCTATAGCCTCTAGATCGGCTTCAAGATCAAGTGTTTGTGTTATGTCCTCACTCTTTGGAGGTCCTGTTGAAGCTGTACTTTCCTTCTTGGCTGAACCACTTGTACTGCTCTTCTTCACACTCTTAGCATACAAAAGCTGTGGCTTTCCAGCTCTAGCCGTCTTCGAATTAGACCTATCTATACTGGGTTTCGAGACATTGGAGCTTTTCGCTGTAAACGATGAAGATCGTAGCGATGTGTCCCTTCCTGGTGATATCAGTGACTTGCGTAGTCTTGAAGGTGATGGTGGCTTGTCAAAAGATCTTCTTCTACTCAGCGTAGGCTTTTGAGATGATGCAGTCTCTTCAGAGCCATGTTTCTTGCTCCCAGCTAATGATGACTTGGAAGAATTTTCATGTCTTGAGGCACTCAAAGTAGGCCTCAAATAGTTTGGGACTTGCTTTGTTGTTGAGGCTGAAGAGATTGAAGAGGTTGAAGAGGTTGCTTTCTCAGTGCCTGTAGAGGATGAAGACTTGGTGACTCTTTTGGTGTGGTTTGTGTGGGAGTTTAAAGCTGATGTGCTCTTCTTCAGCTCCTTCCCTGAAGTAGTGCTATCTTTAGCTTTTGTTGCCATATATGTATTGTTTTGGATTGATTGATGGCTGATCAGCTGAGATATTTCAAATGCTGCTACCTCCCTGCATATTTTCTAAAGAAATCATATGTTAGAAAAAAGGAGTTCTAATTGATCAATGTGATAAATTTAAGGCATGTTCATCCACTATGCTAACAAACATAAGACGACACATTCAAACAATTTTATTTTAATAAATAACTTAAATTGACGGTTTAATGGCATAACATATGAGATTTTGACGAGAGAAGATTAGTCTCAATACTCCTTGCCGTGAGCTATCTTTCCTCTAACATTTAAAAGAGAAATATCATTAAGACCAGAGTTAGTATCGTACACGAATTTGGCCAAAAAACACTAATCATGTATTGAAATTGACAGGAAGTAGGCCTAGTGGCCCAGCATCCCAATTGCATGCTAATGTTATTTATTGCTCTGGTTCACATGGTAAAAATGTAGCTCAGGCTCACCCAAGTCTGGACCAAATCCTACTGCATCAAATGCAGGAATCTAAGGACTGAGCCCTCATGGGGAGGGCTTTGATTAGGCTGCAGGACCCATATGAAAAGAATACCAATGGCGCTAAATTCAGATGGGTCCCATGATCCCATTTCCCATTCATAAGAGAAAGAAAGCTTCTTTATACCATTCTTGTTTTATCTCTGTATTTTTCTTAGGTCCATACTCTTTTCTTATGAACCAAATAACATGTTTTTCCTTTCTTTTGCTTCTTTTGTGTTGTTAAAGGCATCGCATGTTCTCTGTATATGGTACATGTATTGTCATGTTAGTTAGAAATCATAGATAATTTGATTACCAGATTTCATATATGGACTAGTTATTTAGTCAAGACGGTGTGTCTAGCTCTTTGAACCCAAGTTATTTAGCCATATGATAATCTTTTGTATAAACACGGTGGGAGGTTTCGGGGAAAAAAATTGGCTGACCTAAACCATGCTCACCTAATAATGCATAACTAAATCCACTTGGAACAACAGTACGCAAAGTATAAAACAAATGCTTTGCTGATAGGGAGGGGGATGGTTTTTGTTGTCACCTAGCTTAGGTCTTGTCACGTCGGTCTATATGACAAGATTGCATGCTTATCCCCATAGACAAGCAACCCAAAAACCCATACAACAAAGGCAAATTTGAAACTTACCAACATATTCATTTTCATCAAAGGAGATTAAGAACTCAAAGACAATCAAAACTAAGTAAGAACACATGTCACCAAATTATTCAAAACACACGTTATGCTTCACGCAAATGGCAATAAATTAGAAACAAAATATCCCAACTAAAATCTTCCACCATCTCTAGAAACCAGAAGTAGAAGCAAAAAAACAAAAGGAGTTGCATACGGCGTAAGGAAATATATGATGAGAAAGAGTAGATTTGTAGGAACAAAAAAGAAAGAAATGGGAGAAGAACAAGTTACCGTACCTTGATTGAAGCAAAAGGAAACCCGAAAATCAGAAACACACAAAAAACACACAAAATGGTATGGGAATTAGATGGAGAAATTAATATATGAAGGAAGAGAAAGAAGAGATTGGTTGGAATTGGAAGAGAAATAAAGGGGAATTATTTCTTCAAGTTCATGAAAAGAAGCGCGAATTTCGTGCGCACAACTCAAACATGGGTGGTGGTGTTGGTATGTTGCTAATCAAAGGCTAGTTGGAGGCCATGATTTCAATCAATCACTCTAAAAATTCTAATTTTATTCAAAATCCAACAATATTCTAGACATGTGGCAAACGTTGACCTTTTCAATGGCATTCATAAATTTATTAGAAACTGATCTTGGTTTTATCGTATAACAGAAGATGTTAAATGTGGGGGGCCGTTCATCTACTAAGTTTTCTTCAAAAATAATAACTTAGTGACATTTAGTTTTCATTTTGTTGGAGCAGATATTGTGTTACATGAGCCGAAATTTGTTATGTTGTTTGAATTCGAAAACAAAAATTATGAAAAAAAAAAAAAAAACTTATTCTTATTGCCAGTTGGGTATAGCTCAATTGGTCGAGTTCTTTCATCTTCACCTATGTTGGCAGAAATTCAAAACCTCTGGCACTCAATGAATATTTGTGTAAGCCCCCCTCCCTCAATCGCTTTTACTAAATAAAAAATTCATGTTCTTAGTACAATGATCTTTAGATTAAACCTAAAAATGAAAATGAGGTTGGTTAAACTTTTCTTATAAATCACCTTTCCAAATGATCATGAAGATTTCTCTTTTCTTTTTAGGGGTTGAGTTAATCAAAGACTTCATAGTGAAAATATAAACAATATTTGTCAAAACGATGTATATGTCCAAACCAAAACTCATGTGGAAAGGCCAACTTCATCATTAATGTATGAAAACGAAAGTATTCAATTCGTGCTATACAATTAATAATATTGTTCCTGAAAAATAAAATAAAAAATAAAAAATTTATTATTAATATTTATTTTTCGTCAAATATACAACATCATTTTCCTATTACTATTAAACAGATACAAGGACATAGGACTTGCTTTCCCATTCATTACCTACAGAATCATACTTTCCCAATCCATTAATAAATAAATTCAGCTTCTTTCATAATTGAGCTCTCTTCTTTCAATTTTATTTATTTTTAAAAAATTGGAAAGGTGTTTCCTTTTTATTTTCATTTTTGTTTACTTATAATTTGGATAAGGGAGCTGTTGGATCATGATTGGTTCCTAACTTTGATTAAAATGTGACTGCGTACGTACGTGCATAAGTATTTAAATAATAACCAGAGATTAATTAATTATATTACACCACCAAAGCATATAAACAAAAATGATGTGGCCCTATCTACAATGGCATAAAGCATTAAGCCACGCTGTTTACATTATGTTTTTTTTTATAAATAAAATAAAATTAAAAATAAAGATAAAGGGTTGTGTAATTGTTCATATGTAGTCCATTTGTGCCACATCCTGCTTTTCTTTCTGCAGGCCATTACCTAATTAGCTCTTAAACAAACAAGAAGAGGGAACATAAAGTTACATCACAGGTAGTGGTGTGGTAGGAGGAGATGATCATCACCTTTCCATGCCGCACCTGGCAAACATATAGCTACTCAACATTTTATTTATTTATTTAAACTACTCTAATACAGGGGACCGAGATTCGAACTCGAGC